ATACATAAAAAACAAAAAAATAAATAAAGTAAACAACAAAAACAGAAAAGAGTAAATGAAATATACAAAATAAAAAATAAGTAAATAAATAAGAAAAAAATGTAAAAGAAATTAATCTAAATAAATAAACAAATTAACAAACCACTCCTGCTAAAAAAAAAAACGTTGAAACAAATAAAAATAAAAATAAATAAACAAAAGCACGTAAAAATAATGAATCCAAATAAATAAATAAATTATTAAACAAATTATAAACTCCCCCACCACAATAACAGCAATTAATCCAAAAATAGCTTTAATAATCTTCCCAGACCAAAACAAACTATTAACTAAGCGACCTAAGCAAATCCCCACAAATTTTTTACTATGTTAATAAAACATCGAAAACCGAAAAAGAATAAATAAATATATAAAATAAAAAATGAACATAAATAAAGTAAAATAGATTAACCCAAATAAATAAGCCACTCCCGCCAAAATGACCACCAGAATGGACTACCCACAATGCCCTACTGACCTTGTGTTCAAGTCTTGCTATACTTGAATCAAATGGTTATTTAGTGAAATGTTGAACAACACATCTGCAAAATCAAAACTACAAAGAACCAACATTATTTACGAGTTCAAATGCCTGATCAAACCAAACTCATAATTATTACATTGGTCACATTACGACATGCCCATCCAGACGACTTACCTTACACCTATACGACCATTATTTTTTTCCAACAATGCCATAAAAGATGCCTTAATAAAAGGTGGTTTAGAAAACCATTTAAAACAGTGGTTGTGAACTGTAGTTCATATGGACCCCCTGTAACATTACTGGGAGGCCACACAAAAGGAAAAAAATAACAAATTAGAGGAACACGCTAATATTTTAGTGATCCATACAACAATTTCAAAACTCTGAGTTCCAGACACAACACAATGCTTAGATGACGATTGAAAACTTTTAACCAAGAAAAATATATATTGATTATTGATTTCTCTCTGTCTGTCTGTCTGTCTGTCTGTCTCTCTCTCTCTCTCTCTCTCTCTATATATATATATATATATATATATATATATACAATTATCGCTTTTTGAAATTGTCGAAGAGTGAAGGTAGTTAAAAAAAAAAGCGGTGTAATGGGAAAAACTGTCCCTTTGACATTACGTCTTATTGCGAGCATGTTTGTCCGTGTTGGCCGAAAAGCTTTTAAAAGAAAACTATTTAAAACGCTTTATTTCACGACATTAAAATGCGCGGTTTTATACAATTATATATTATTAATAATAATAATAAATATATTTTTACTCACTGTTTTTCAAGCACCCAGCTATCTTCACGTACTGATTGAAAACTGACTGTTGAAACGTTTTTCTTATTATTTCTGTCAAGACAGTGGATCAGTCCACAATATATATATATATATATATATATATATATATATATATATATATATATATAATAAATAAAATAAAGTATTAAAAATAAAAAAAAATAGTAAAAAAATGAATAAAGAATAAAATAAAACCAAAAAATAAATTATATTTTTTTTATGTTTCTTGTGTTCATACAAGTGTTTTCTTTTCTGGACACAAAATATGTAAAAACTGTCCAAAAATTCTGCATTTCTGAACTTTTTCAACTATACTTTTATCCATTATCAAGGATAATCTTATTTTTACTTTTACCTGAATGTATGGGTTATTTTAAGTATGTATCTAGAGTTATAAGGGTGTTTCATTTTCCAAACACGGTCAGCACACTGTGCCCGTGTTCATAATTAATGTTATTGAGTGTTGGCTTTTTCTTTTTTATTATTACGGTTTCCATTATTTTAATTTTTTTTTTTTACATGTGGACGAGGTTATTATACTTGTATTTTCTACTAGTATGTGTAGAATGGAGTCTGGTAGGTTTTTTGTATGTTTAAATGAGTTCTAATGGAACTGTGTTTTGTATGTATCTAGAGTTATAGGGATGTCCAATAATACATTTTATAATTGATGAAATTGAATATAGGGTAAGCTGAAAAATACTGTTTTATAGCAAAATGAGCAATAATACATTTTATAATAAAATTGAAGACGTGACATATATATGACAAAACAAAAATTTTAAAAAATTAAAATATAGAAAATTATAAAAAATCTCATTTCCTGTCAAAAGAAACAAGTTTGATTTTGTAAGATTATTTGGTTAAAAAATACAGCTAAGTAATTATGATTTAATCACGAAATAATGTAATTCTCTAGAATTCATTATAAAGTTTGAATTTTTTATATTTAGATTCCGGCATTAAATAACCCTTAGAGGTTGATATGCCGCTAAACAAAATCCACAAACTAACATGAAAGAACTCTTTCATGATATTAATCCATATAATATCCTACAATTTCTTCAAGAAATCAAACTGTATTCCAAAATATAACTTCAAGAAAACTACAACATCAAAAAACTCATATAACTGCCTCTAGTAATTATGTTCAGACAAACATGTATATGCACAAAAGCTGAGTATCATCTACCATGTATTGAATTGTGAAAGCAGAATAACATTTTTATTACTTCAAAGCTCAAAAGAAATTTAAATTTCGACATTAAATGACCCATGAGGTGTTGATATGTCGTTAAATAAATCAAATAAAAAACATTTTATAGAAAATTACAAATAATGTATTTTATAGCAAAATGACCAACAATACATTTTATTGCAAAATGACCAACAATACATTTTTATAGCACAATGACAATCATTATATTTTATAGTAAAATTAAAGCTATGGCATACGTTGTCAAAAAAATAAAATAAAAAATAAAAAAAAACAATTTGCTCGGATTAATCTCATTTCTTGTAAGGAAAAACAAATTTTCACTTCTCATTTGATTTTGGAAGATTATTTGGTAAAAAGAAAATGGAGCTAAGTAATTATAATTTAATTATGAAACAATGTCATTCTCTAGAATTCATTATAAAGTTTGAATTTTCAGATTCAGATTCCGGCATTAAATAGCCCATATAGGTGTTGATATGCCGCTAAACAGAAACAACCAAACAAACTAACCATCATTAATACTAATTACAACATCAAATCATGAACCTAAACAAAATACTTCGTTGACCAAATATTGGTGTGAATTTAAATGAATAAACAATTTTGTAAAAATCATGTCGCAAAAACGAAATGGATCAGTTCCTGAGAGAATATAAACAATAAATAAATTCGCTTAACAACACAAAACACTTTATGGCACGAATTTACAAAGAAAAACCGGCAAACATAGACGTTCGTGCCCGCCAAAAAATGGTCGCGTCAAAAGGACGGTTTTTCCCATGACACCGCTTTTGTAGCTCCCTTCACTCTTCGGCAATATTGTTTTAAAAAACGATGATTAGAAATGGAATAAAACCTAAACAAAGGAAAGTGAATTTATATATTTTCTTTGTTCTTGAGAATATTTATTTATTAAATTGTTTATTGAAATGGTTGACAAAATATCGGTTAATTGCCAATTGATTCAAACTTTATAAAATGGTAAATAATAAGGATTACCTTATAGTTGGTTGACATATTTTTAATTTAGGAAATTTTTATAAATAAAAATAATCACATTTCTTTCTTTATAAATTAATAAATGATAAATATTGCATTGCATTAGTTTTAATTGTATTACTTTTTAGAATGTTGTAGAAATAACATTATTCTTGTAAATAAACAACTAACAGATAAATAGTTTAATATTTTTGTTGTAAATCCCCAAGTATAAATTAACTTTCATCATATATTTAGGTTTTATCACACTTCTAATCATCGCTTTTTGAAATTGTCGAAGAGTGAAGGTAGTTAAAAAAAAGCGGTGTAATGGGAAAAACTGTCCCTTTGACATTACGTCTTATTGCGAGCATGTTTGTCCATATTGGCCGAAAAGCTTTTAAAAGAAAATTATTTAAAACGCGACATTAAAATGCGCGGTTTTATACAATTATTTACTGTTAAAGCAAATAAACAGAATAAGAAACGGAATACAGGCAGGTAATGGTTAAATTCGTTATTTACTCAAAGCAAACGCAGCCTGTCAGTTCACAGTGTAAAGCCTTTTCTAGTTTATCATACAAATGGCGGACAATTTTCAGGTCACTACACAATATGGCAACCAACTGGAAATAAGGTTTTGTTTTCTGCTGACAAGATGATATGAGATTTATGAGTTACTGAGTATGATACAAAACCGAATTGCATTTCGCCAGCCTTTCAAGCCCGGCTGGTCAGCTTCAAAATTTAAACTTTAACATGTTTGAATACAGATAAAATAAGAAATTAGTATTAACAACCTGACATATTTTGTATTTTGTCAGACACATACAAACACACACACACACACACACACACACATACACACATATATATATATATATTAAAGAGAAGAGAGAAGCCGCAAACGTATTTGGTTATATAAATATAAAATATTTTCTTACACGCGTTTCGGGTCTTGCGACCTTCATCGGGCGAAAAGTGGTTATTTTCACATATCATTTAAAGGAATTCATTTTTACTTATGTTATATATATATATATATATATAACTATAATTAGGAATATTTAGGCAGCATATTTTCTTTCAAACAGCTTTGGTTAAATAATTTAGACGTATCATGTCGATTAGATTTCGTTGTGATCCTTTCAAGTTCGCGTATTAATTTCTAGGTAGGTATAGAAAAATGATTAAGAAAGATACCAAAATTTTCTCTCAAATAGTTTTTATTTTCCCGAGTACTTTCAATCGCATCTGAGATCATCTTCAGAATGTTAAGTTGTCTGTGAATATGTATATGTGTTACTGTAAATTCAAAACATTTCAACTGTTCGTTTTTTTTTTCCTGCTTATGTATTTGTTCTAAGAGAGGAGCGGATGTATTTAAAAGCGTCAGGGAAACAGTATATAGGATCTGACGAAACTTTAATAAAGTGAAACATGTTAGATTAAGATCTGTTTCCTACTTCTTTACCCTATCATATATATATATAGAGAGAGAGATAGATAGATAGATAGATAGATAGATAGTCATCCACAGACAGACTGTTTCGCTGTATCCATCTCATCATTTGGTTGGACATCCGATTGCCTCAAGCCAGGATCGAAACCCAACTGATTTGGCATCATGGAAATTTTTCCCCGAAGCTATCAACTCCCGGCAGAGAGGAAGGTGAATTTTTACGTATTCATTTTGAATAAACACGCCAGTGACTCATAGTGCTCGATTCATAGAAGAACTATATATATATATATATATATATATATATATATATATATATATATATATATATATATATATATATTAATTATTAGGATGATTTGATAATTATATTTAATTAATTCATCCACTACCGAGAATTGTAATTTCAATTCTCGGTAGTGGATGCGCACTACTGATGAGTCCCAAATATAGGACGAAGCGGCCGTCCAGTGCTTTCTGCATTCTGTTGAGGTTTCTATCAGACTCGATGAATTAATTAAATATATATATATATATATATATATATATATATATATATATATATATATATGTATGTGATACATCAATCCTACTTTTATGCATGTAAAATTTCAGATATAACTAATAAGTATATCTGCAAAAGAACAATATGAATAAAGATAAGACTTCTATTTACGTTTATATATATATATATATATATATATATATATATATATAAAAAAGGTTTGGTTAAGTAATTTAGAGATATCATATCGATTAGATTTCGTTATGATCCTTTCGAGTCCAAGGATTAATTTCTTGGTAGCCTTAGAAAATTGATTAAGAAAAACACCAAAATTTTCTATCGAATAGTTTTTAATTTCCCAAATACTTTCAATCTCATCTCAGACCATCTTCGGGATGGGGGAGGTAAATTATTTAACTAAACCTGTTTGATTGAAAATATGCTCCTTAAATACACACAATAAAAAATTATATATATATATATATATATATATATATATATGAAGAAAATTTGGAAAAAACAAACAAAAAAAAACTTAAATGCAATTATGTTTAAAATGAATGAAATGTCGACGTCTGACGTTTCGGTTTAATAAACCTTTTTCAAGACAATATTCATTAAAATACAATTCAGTTCGATTTCACAAAGACGATGGACATAAAAAACAAGTCTTATCCAAAACAGATAACTGAAAATTTTTAAAATGATCAGCTTTCCGTTTAACATGGTCACGTTGTCGTCACATGGGCGACGCTTTCAAAACGTATTCCTAAAAAATTTTTTTTTTTTTTTTTTTGAAATGAAAAAGAAAATGAAAAGAATTCTATTAGGATCTAAAAATTTTTATGTGTATGCTTGTCGAGCATTAATCTCGCTAAAAAAGGGGAAACATTAAAGAAACCAGGTCTAGTATTCACCGTGCGTGAGATGGATATTATACCTGCTTCATAAATCCTCCTGAGATTTTTATTATGAAAATATTTTAATACTTTCACGGAATCGAAATCGAAATTATGATCTGCTTTAGTTGTGTGTACAACTAAAGCATTGTTAAAATTTCCGAGGCGAATATCTCGTTTATGTTCGAAAACACGAGATTTTACGGACCTACATGTTTCACCCACATATTTTAGGTCACAGTTTTGCATGATATTTGATAGATGCAAGCATCGGATGTAATATGTTGTCTGCTGGTGCTATTTAATAAACTACGGATAGTCCTAGTAGGTAATATAGTAGTTCTAATTTTTAATGCATTTAGATTATGAGAGATACGTTCGGTCAAATGGTTATTTGGTAAAAAGATGCGACCAAACGAAATATTATCAGAGACAGCTGAAATTGTATCTTTCATTGATGTAGTTGTAGTGGCCTTCGAGGTGTCATTTTGCGCTGATGAGTGAATTTTCAACGCTTTATTTTTAGCTCTCTGTAATAATTGTCTCGGATACGAAAGATTTGAAAAGGTATCCTCAATATATGTGAATTCATCATTTAAATATTTTGATGAACAGATGCGAAGAGCCCTTAAATAGAATCCAATAACAATACCCCTCTTAGTGTTAGTATCATGGTGAGATTTTTACTATTTACTAGTAAATGACTATTTACATTTTTACTCTCAGTTATCTGTTTTGGATAAGACTTGTTTTTTATGTCCATCGTCTTTGTGAAATCGAACTGAATTGTATTTTAATGAATATTGTCTTGAAAAAGGTTTATTAAACCGAAACGTCAGACGTCGACATTTCATTCATTTTAAACATAATTGCATTTAAGGATTTTTGTTTGTTTTTTCCAAATTTTCTTCATTCTGTCTGATTTATATCCATTTACATTTGCTTACATATATATATATATATATATATATATATATATATATATATATATATATATATATATACTGCAGCAATTAATATATGTATAAAAACTGATCCACTGTGCAAAATTCCTGGAAAAAATTGCTGAGATATTACTGATTGGATCATTTTGTTCATGTCACGTTAACTGAAAAATACTTATGACAAAACAAAAAAAAATCGTCGATTTGACACATTACTAATTTTTTAAAATTTTCTCACTTGAAATATTCAGAACACAACACTGGCCTTGTACCGTTGATAAATAACACACTTTACAAAAAGACATATTCCGGCTTGTAATATATTTATTTTCGTCTTTCAAATTTACCTGAAATTTGCCTGAAATGAAAACAATATTAATACCTGACGATGAAAGAGCGAATTTCTTCGAATGTTCTTGTAACAGAACATCTAACCCATCTCATAATTTTAAACATATGGATCGCGTTGTTCCAAGAGTTGTTAATAAGTTAATATTTTATTGATCTGTTAGCAAGTTGATTTCCCCATTAATTACATTAATTTTAATGATTAATTCTTTATATGATTACTTGTTTATAATTTTTATATATAACAATCAACCCCAAAACCGCACAAATAGTTTTAATTAAATTATCAAACCAAAACAAAACTATTAAATAAGTGATATAAACAAATTTTTACTACGTTAATAAAAACACCGATTAAAAAATAAATAAATAAATAAAATAAGAAACAAAAAATAAAAATAGATAAAAACAAGCAAAATAATTTAACCCAAATAAATAAATAAACGACTTCCGGTAAAATAACCACCATAATAGACTACCCACAATGCACCACTGACCCGTATATATATAAATAGACGAGATAAATAACAGCACACGTGGCCTGACGATTACGATTGCATATAGCATGAAACAGACTGTCACCTGTAAGTGTTGACTTCTATGTTCACTTTTATATTTACACACGCTCTATCTCTGATATTGAGCACTTTATCCCATAAATATAGCACACCTTAAGACTATATTTCTTTATATATATATATATATATATATATATATATATATATATGGGATAACGATATATATTTTTTATATATCAAGAACAATTTTACGGGAAAGAAGTATGACACGGTGGAGCAATTTTACGTCCGACGCGTTTTGTCTTTTATGATGATATTGACGCGACTGCGCATGCGTATGAAAGAGAGTTGCTGATAATTTAAATTATTATTTTTTTTAATATGTCTTTTGGGTTTGTAATCCAGCCAATTTCATTTAGATTCTTTTTCTTTTTTTGTTCATGTTTCCATCACTTTTGTCATTAAATATCCCAAACATCACAGTAGAAGACCTGTCAAGAATGGAGAAACTTATTGGAACTTGGATGCAAATTTACTGTGGATGATCTCATGATTAATACACACTTTCTAAACATTTACGTCTTATTGAATTGTTTTCTCTTTTAATTAGATTTTTTAAATCAAAATTGTTGTCAGTCTCGTTACGATGAACAACTAACTCATTGAATGTGCTTGTTTGTAAACGACCCCTTTTGTGTTCATATTATCATTTATTCATATTCCTTGAGGTTTCTCCTATGTATTCTTTGTGGCAATTATTACAGGTTATAGAGTAAATACTCTTTCAAGTTTTAGCTTATTATTATTTGGTTTTGTATTGATTAATTAATGTCTATTATGACTTTTCAAACAGACATTTTAAAAAGTGTATATTCAATTAATATATGCAAATATATTAAAATAAAGCAGGAAGTGCTAATATAAAAAAGGTTACTCACCGGGAAATGGTGAATCGAAGAATATAAAAAAAGAAATGATGAAACAAGCTACAATGCATATTGAAAGCGCTTGAGAGCTTGTATATTAAGTCCAATCAACCTTCCCTCTGTAAGCAGTCAAAACAGTTTCTAGATCTTAATGTAATCTGTCTGTGATTTATATTACTGGTTCTTCCTTATGGCAATCTCTTCCGTCTTCTTGCTTCCTTACCAAAAACGATCAATGAAAATTTAAATGCTACGTCAATCGTCATCGTCTGTCTCCTTGAAATCTGTTCTTTTATTTGTCCTTTCTTCTCAATAACATCTTTTCGGTCTCTTTCCCACCTGCTGACCCACTGTGTCGCAGTGTCTTTCATCGCCTTGCTTGGAATAAAAGGATTTTTTTAAATGTAAGAATAATTATACAAACAATTACGTACAGTTAGCAAGAACAACATGTTTATTGCCTTAGAAACTAAATAGAAAACATGCAAAAGGATGATTGGAGATGTGTAAGAAAGGCACTTCTGATGACTTACTAACTATTTTGAGAGAATCGGGACTAAATGCACAGTTAAAACTAGCCTCTCTTTACATGGAAAAACCTATGTGCCCCTTTCATGTACAGAATGTTCGTTCGTATGCTTTAGAGAGGTTTGCTTGATTAGTCACACAGGCGGCAACAACAACATATATCACATTTATCTTCAGATTGATTTCACTTGCAATCTATGCAACTAAGTGTACAGATCAGCGAGTATACTTACCCAAAATTACAAGTCACAGAAACTTGATACCAATATATATATATATATATATATATATACATAGAAACAAACTTACATGTAGATAGCGAGAGAGAGAAAGACAGAGATAGAGTGAGGTTGGGAAGAAAATTACATGTAAAGAGAGGCTGAAACAGATAGATAGATAGATAGAGAGAGAGAGAGAGAGAGAGAGTTAGGTTGGGATAGATAGATAGATAGATAGATAGATAGATAGATAGAAACAGACTTTTATGTAGAGAGAAATGGGAACAGATAGATAGAGCGAGGGGGGATGAGGGTGATAGAGAGAGTGATAGAGAATGAGAGAGAATGAGAGTGAAGATGGAATAGATAGACTGATATATAAGTATGAATAAACTTACATGTAAATAGGGGTTGGAGCAGATAGATAGATAGATAGATAGATAGATAGATAGATAGATAGATATCGACCATTCTTCCAGCATCTTTACTAAATCTAAAGTATATACCGTAAGGTGATGGTTAACAAGCATGACTTAAACTCTATTTTAATAGTACAACGTGTTTGATCCTTAATATTGTGGACTGAGGCAATGCCAAAAATGAGTGTCAATTCCAAACGTCAATCACTAATACAAAGAGTTCAATCCTTACCGGGATCACTTCTGTGATCTTATGCCAGACTAAGATAAGTTTAGCACATTCTAACAACGCGTCACGTTTAAATGATGCAATGATAAGCAAGATGAACTCACGGTAAGCAAAATATTCTTCTGATCATGTATCAAATTTAAGTACGCGTGACTTGCAAAGTTATTCTGTCGTTCGTGTTTTTTGTGATAAAATTAAAATGACTCGGTGTTTTAGAATCAAATTCGGAGAAATGAAAATAAATAAATAAAAAGGATAATGCTAGTCATGTTAAAGAAAGAAAGAAAGAAAGAAAGAAAGAAAGAAAGAAAAACATTAAAAAGGGTAAATGAATGAAAGAAAAAGAGAAAGGTTCGAAGAAAGAAAGGGGTGTTTAAAAAAGAAATAAAGGAAGAAAGATGTGAGTAAAGAAAAAAGGTTAAATGAAAGAAAGGTTGGACCAAAGAGATTAAAAAGAAAGATTAGAATGAAGAGGGGGCACAACAGAATATAGAAAAAAATGGATAAAGGTTGGATAGATAGATAGATAGATAGATAGATAGATAGATAGATAGATAAAAAATTACATGTAAAGGTGTTGGAACAGATAGATAGGGGATAGAGAGAGGTTGGGATAGATAGATAGATAGATAGATAGATAGATAGATAGATATACCCATATTGGTATAAACAAGTTGGTTTGGATTGATTCGTTTTACGTCTTATCAGTCCTTTGTAGGTTATTTAAATACAGAAAATATTATTTTAGATTGTAAGATAATAATGGTGTAGTGATACAAATCTTAGTAATTAACCCATAGCTGGGGGAGAAGAGGTGGGTTCATAGTTTTTTCCCAAGGTTACTTGTGCGTAAGTGAATATAATAAAGCCCACGGGAATTGGAACTCGGCTCTCCGATCAACAATTCCCAGTCATTATCCATTACACCACCCTCACATTGCAAGCCTAAAACACCTGGTATTCCCAAGCCTTCATCGAGCTAGATACTGACCAGGCTCGGCGTTGCTTAACTTCGTTGATCGTACGTGATGTGGCCGTAAGCCTATAGAAAGATTACAGTAGACTGTGATAGATAGATAGATAGATAGATAGATAGATAGATAGATAGATAGATAGATAGATATGAATAGACTGACATGTAAAGAAAGGTTGGAACAGATAAATAGATAAATAGAGAGAGAAAGCTTGGGATAGATAGATAGATAGATAGATAGATAGATAGATAGATAGATAGATAGATAGATAGATAGATAGATATGAACTGATTGGATAAGGTTATACTAGTTTGGAAATAAAGTGTTCTCTATTATTATGATCTGATGACTAACTCTAGAAAATACTCTCCAACTGTTCTACCACTGAGCTATTGGGTGACAAGAATAAGCTTAATTCGCTTTATCATGACACAACCATCAATCCAAAACCAGTGAATCCCCACCCTCAGCAAACAAGAAAACTTTTCAAAGTATCCCACGCCCAGACATTAACAGCCAAAAAAGGAAGGCAAAGCAATAAAAATATAAATAAAAAATGCTCATTATTGATTGGGAGGTCGTAATTGTTTCTTTATTTTTTTAGTGCCACAAAGATCAATGATTTGGTATTCATTTTGATTTGTAGTGATAGCAACAAATAAATTTCTAAATAACAGCCAATCTTTATTACTAGACTATGTTGTATTTTCGAACAAAAATAATAATCTACATAAATGAACAGCAAATTCTGTCTGTCCGTAAAGATTTTAAAAGTTTTTAGTTTATATTAAGCTTAAAGTAACACAAAAAAAAAATTGTGAAGTTAATTTTTTTTACTATTTACATTGCTCGGACTATCATTCTCATCTTTGTTGCCATATTTATCACAACGTTCCGGCGTTTCAGTTGGTTGGAATGTCGAACTGAACCCTTTATTTCGCCCGCTGGGGTAGATTGTTCTAGTTCCACGTGCCGTGTCTAAAGGATATCAGTTATCTCCTGTTAATTTCCCTCTCCAAGTTCTCCACCGCCTTAACCGGGTATTGAACTCACACTCTTTGGGTTCTGTCACTGGATCTAACCAACGACTTTATCCACTGTGCTATGTGTCCTTGAGGATAACTGATATCCATTAGACATGGCACTTGGCACTAGAACAGTCTACCCCAGCGAGCGAAGTAAAGGGTTCAGTTCTATTATCCAACCACCTGGAGAAGACCGGAGCGTACATCGGCCGAAACGTTGTGATAAATATGGCAACAAAGATTAGGATGATAGTCCGAACAATGTAAATAGTGTACATAATACCTCATCTCAGAAACATAGACAGAGACTTAAAAAAATGTTTGTTTTAAATTCAGTTTAAAATATGTCCAAAACTTTGTGAATTGAGGAAATCAATTTTATTTACAGTATTTACATTAGTTATCTCCTGCTAATTTTCCCTCTGAAAACTGATAACTGACATCCATCAAACATGGCACGTGGAACTAGAACAGTCTACCCCAGTGAGCGAAATAAAGGGTTCAGTTCGAAATTCCAACCACCTGAAGAAGGCCGGAGCGTACAACGGCTGAAACATTGTGACAAATATGGCGACAAAGATGAGGACAATAGTCCGACTAATGTAAATACTGTACATAATACCTCACTACCAAGAAATTAATCCTTGGACTCGAAAGGATCATAACGAAAACTAATCGATATGATATCTCTAAATTACTTAACCAAACCTGTTTATATATATATATATATATATATATATATATATATATATATATATATATATATAAAACGTAAAAAATCTTATTTTAACAGATATATTTACCAAAATTACACATAGCTGCTGTAGAGGTTGGAATTTGTGCATTCATCCGAAAGATATATATATATATATATATATATATATATGAGAGAGAGAGAGAGAGAGAGAGAGAGAGAGATAAAGTGTGCGATGGATAAATTGTCGTTTAAATTCCACAAAGATGAAAATAAGTGACATCTCATTTTAACAGATATATTTACTAAAATTGCACAAAAAAATATTGAAATACTAAAGACTAACTTTATTTAATAAACTCTCCATTGGCTTCAACCAATGGCCTCCAGACGACTTCGGAGTCTCCTACATCTCTTCTGGATGGTCTCCTTGTTTAAGCTGGTGAATGCTGCTATATTCCTTGCCTTCAGATCATCTTTGGTGTTTCAAAGAGTTTTGTTGATCTCTCGCTCAACTACGCCCCACACATAATAATCAAGGAGTTTGGGGAGTTAGGTGGCCAGATGTAAAGGTTGATGTGGTTGCAGAAATTGCTTTTGTGGCATGGTGCAGAGTCCTGTTGCTATGAAATATTTATATTAGATCTTTCGGCGCGAATGCCAAGCAGTACAGCATGCTGTTTCCAAATTTCTGGCGGAGCAAATCGTGTCATGTTTTTCTCACAGACAGTTCCCAACTGCCCCTACTAAACAATGCAGTCGACAAAAACAAACGATGCACATGCGCGAAATTACAACTATAAATTAGTGACAATTTACTCATCGCAACCTTAGTTATTATATATCCCACATTGTAATAACAGAAGGTCTACCAATATGGTGAAATAATTTACTAAAACGAAAATGTTTGCATCTACAGAAAATTTGCATTCAGATTTTTAGGACATTTCCCCATTCTTGGCAGATCTTCTGTTATTACAATGTGAGATATTTAATAACAAAGATGATGGAAAGAAAAAGAATCTAAATGAATTCGGCTAGATTATACCGAAAACAAATATATATGTCACTTATTTTCATCTTTGCGTAATTATTGAACAATATAGTTCATGCCACATTGACAGAAAATTTACCAGTAAAAAAGAATTCGCTTATCACCATATTTGTACAAGAACGCACAATTGTAAAATTCAAAATCAAACTCAGCGTTGCTACTGCACGCTCCAAAAACAATAACTCATTTCTAATAGCATTTTTCGGATACAACAATACATATATTTTCGTTGTCCTCTTATTACTGAGAGAAAGAACAAGAACAACATCTATTCCATACCTGAAGATGTCTGTAGGAACAGACGAAAGCTTGTAGTAAAAATAAGAACTAATGCAACAGAAATTTATAAAAACAAGGATTTTTTCATTCATAACAGGTTCGGGGTTTTTGTATATTATTTGAATTGTTTGCGACGATGGATTTCTCGCCAATTAAATCATTAACCTTTGTATTTGTTTTTGTATGAATAATTCATGAATATATATATATATATATATATATATATATTTTTAAATTTAAAATTCTCAGCCTCTCTTTCGCTCGTGCGCATGTGTAATCGCATCAACGTAAGCATAAACTTAGCCTTTTGAAAAAGTCATAACTTGTTTGTTTTCAATCTTTCATTTATTTTCTTTGTTTGCAGGTTATAGAGTGTCTCTTGGAGATTAAAATGGCTGTCGTATAATGTCCATCAACGAGTAAAAATCATTGAGTTTTTCTCTTCCAATAAAAAACCAATTATTCAAACTCAGAGAAAATACCGGCAATTTTTAATGTGTGAGTATCGCCTAGCGATAACATGATTTGGAACATAATTGCCCGGTTTTAAAGAACTGGATCAGTTGGCGATCTTCCGGGTAGAGGTCCTAAGCACACTGTGTGCACTGACGCAGCCATGGAAGCTGTACAGCAGAGTGTCATTGAGGATCCATCAGCGTCTACCTGTCGTCGCTTTACTCAACTAGGCATCGCTTGAACATTGCTTCAGTTGATTCTGAAATTGAATTTAAAAATATTTCCATACAAAATTCAAATGTTCCAAAAATTAAAAATACACATGTTTGTAAAAGTTACTTTTTTTTATATCATTCAGTCTTTTACTTGTCACGCAGTAACACAGATTTGTACTGTGGTAACAGGCCATTCTGTCCAAAATATCTGTTGTTGAAGGCATAAAACTGAGTCCATAACATACGTAGCTGAAGTCATAAAATTGCGTAAAAAATATTTATATTTCCGCATTAAATAACCCATAGAGGTTAATATGCTGCTAATCAAAATCAAACAAAATCTTAACTTAGAAATCTTCGCTATTAGTCTTTGTTTCCTCCTGCGGCAGTTTGTAAACTAACATAATTTATTTTCTACCATTCATTACGATTTCCAGCTAGTTTATTCTTATATTAATAATTACAGAAATATCTTGTCTTTTCATTTTTATTCTCTGCGCCATACCCTCAAGATAAAATTTGGCGGGTCTTTCAAAGTGTCCAAATAATTTCAAAGATTTATATTCTGGAAACATCTTTGCTGATAATCAAGCCAAGATATTTGAATTAGCTTACTACTTCAAGTTCCTGAACAGCAGATGACTTGCTCTAATTGGGACATTATCATGCCTTCCGATTTTGATATAAAATGTCATTAGCGTTTATTTCTGCTCATAAACTTTTTTTTTTTTTTTTCTTCTTGTGGTGGAGACAGTCACAGATTTAAGTCTTTAATATCAACGTCTTTAGGTGAAAAGACATAATTATATATTCAAAAAAATCACTTTAGGAGAAAAACTAAAATAGCTTAAATAATTAGGTACACTATCTCAATAAAATATATAATAAAAAATAAATTAGGGAAAACAATCGGTCGCCAAATTTCGTGTACTAAAAATTGAAACCACAACAGACTTGTCTGT